TGAAATGTTGTTTTACTCGACCCCAATGTCAATGCAATGTCAAGAAAAAAGACACCCTCAGGTTATGTAACTGTAAAAAGTGAGCTGCTATGTTTGAAAAACTGTGACTAGAGAGGACCATGGGAAAGTCATACCAATCATGGCTATTTCAGGCAGTCACAGTTATGCCTTTGAAAAGCATTTTGGCTGCTTTTGATTCCATTGTCAGGTCCTCAAATTTTCATCTTTGCATATTTACATACATTTACTATGATGTTTTAATACATTCGCCAGGAGTATTCATGTACACTTCTAGTTTCTGGACAGCTCTTATTAATATAACGGGATTATGTCTGTTATTACAAGTAATAGCAGCACACATAAAACTTCCCTTAGGATCTCAAAGGGCCATACAAGGACAAATTAGTTATGCTTTGCATCTTCTCTGAAGTAAAAAACATTATTATCTTCTTATGAGCAGTCCTGGACTGCAACTTAATCATGAGACTCTGCTGAAAACCTAACCGGTAGAATAGAAATTCTTCAGTTTATGAACACCAGGAAGCCTCTGAAATTAAATTACTTCTGATGTGCACTTCCTGGCTACACGCTGTTATTTGTAATATCCCAAACTATTACAAAATCTCTTTTCAGGTAGAGGAAAAAGCAAAAATAAAACATTTCTGTACCAGTGGATAAGAAACCTTGAAGGATGGATGAAAATTAAGAAGACAGGGAAAGAAACTCTTAACCAACAGGAAGATGGAGTGACAAGAAAGATGACTGTATAGTCTAACTGCAGCAAATTTCAGTAACCTCATAAATAATACCACAGGCAGCTGCAGACCAGTAACTGTCAAACAAGCCATTATACCTAGGAAAAATATATGGTATAGGGCTCAGCATTGAACCTCTACACATATACAGAGGTTATGTCTGGATACAACTTACCCCGTTTTAAATATGCAAAAAAATACTCTAGTTTTGCATGGATCCACATGCAAATGTATCCTTAACGCTTAAATTCTCAGCCCCAATGCTGCAAATATTGAGCCAGTATCAAAACAGAAGCCAAAATAAGTTTCAACTAGGAACATTTTCTGGTCCTGCTGTCTTCCTGTGAAATACTGCCAAAATCTCTTCAATGTCTCATAAGCAGTAAATTCAAGTATTTAGGAACAGCTTCACATAAACACAATCCAAATTCTGCAACAATAACACAGCTCTAATGTTGTCTGGATTGTAGCTTTTCAGCTATTTGACTTTCTTTCTTTAAAACACTTCAGCAACATGACAGTCAACGTTTTGCAAAGGAGATACAAAGCAGAGCTAATTATGGCAGACTTAATTTTTAGACAAAATGGGCTCATCGATGATCTTTTGTTTTCTCAGCTCAAACGTTTAAGGAAAAGAGACAAAAAGCAGGTATTATAAACCAGTTGCCTTACTATAGGAAAGGTTAGAAACTAAGAGTATATTGTAAAACAAACTGGAAGGCTGCAGCACATGGGTGTAAATACACCAACCTACCTCCATCATACATAAACAATACAAATGGAACAATGTTCTCTCAATGCAACACATGGTGGAAAAGGCTCACCCTCCTGTCATTTAAAATAAAATCAAAGAAGGCACCATTGACACCTCTCACTCTTGTGGGATCCCAAAATTTACTGCAGGTTCACCCAGGATGAGATTCCACATTTCTGGTTCTGTTGAAAACCTACTCTGGTGTAAAGCAAGATTTGATGGATCCTGCCATATGATCAAGGTGAAGGGTTAGCAAAGTGACCTGCAATGCATAATGAACAGGCACAAAATTCTGATTTCAAAGAAACTGTTTAAAATGCCCATTTAAGGATGACAAATGCAGATTGCTTTTATAATAATAGTCCAGCCAGGTTTCTTCCAACAAAAGCATTTTCACCAGGAGGAACTATTACAAGCATTCAAATTGTCTATCAAAATGTAACTGCTAATTAAGAACAAAAATGACTGTGAAATTGCAATATAGGCTCCATTTAATTTTAGTGGGAATTCCAAGCCTTTACTGTCAGGAAAGTAACACCTCTCATCAGCTCTGCAGACACCAGAATGAGTCGCCTTTCATCCTTTGCTATTTCCAATTAATGATGTGGACTGTTTTCATACACTCAGCAATAATTAGCCATAATTGAATGTTCCGTGGGTTTATTTGGTTATACTACATAGAATTTAGCAAATATGTCATAGTGCTACAGAGGAGATTTTCTTCCCCCTTCCTCCCCCATTGTTTGATGCTTTTTATACAAAAGTACAGTTTAATATTTGCTGTGAAAGGCTTCAATAATAACTGAGAATCCCAAATCAGCCTGTGCCTATACTCGGGACTAAGAAATAGCACTAGATTTCTCTTTTGTTCAGGTTGTGCTGGCAATTATGATGAGCAGCATGGCTGATTTAAGTGCGCTATGCCACCAGAACATAGAATGAAAAACAATGACATCTGGGATTTTTCTTCTAATGCAAACTTAATTATTAATCAAAGCTATGACACACTAAACATTGGCAAATGGCTTAAGAGCATCAGGAATTTATTTTTCTCAGTGGAGTCTTCAAAAGTCTTTTAATAATCAGATGACAGGACTAATTTACATCTCTGCAGCCCCCCATTAGATTTTTGACCTAATACAGTTTGTAACATTTATTCTTAAGGCAGGGTTTGTTGTTTTTTTTTTTTGGGGTGGGGGGAGGGGTATGTTGGAAAGGGCAAAAATAACCAGCAAACAAGAGTTTGAAAAATTTATCCTGCTTTCATTACAATCACAGATCTTTAAGCTCCTGCTCTCAAGACTTCTGCAGATTTTTAATGAACACTGAATAATTATCCAATATTGGGATAAGAAGTTCTTTTATTTTAAACCAAATAAACTACCATGCAAACAATAGATCCATCTATTAATCATAAATCATTCTACTGAGGCAGTCTAGTTCCTGCAATATAGGCACGTTACAATGACTGAAAATTTATTTTATAGGCACTGAGCAGTTTTTACTTAAAAAACAATCTACAGGTCTGTAGCACTGTGGTAGCTATTTTTCCTCATTCCTTTTTGAAGTATAGCACAGCAATTACATGTACCAGATGGCAGCATTTTATGCACATTGATCTGGACTACCTCTGAAATAGCAACTGAATGTTAATAAGGGGTAGCCAAATTGCTGAACTGCTTTCTCTGTATGTCCCTATGTCCTAAACATGGTTTCTCATTTTGTGGCTGGTGGTCTTGCTAAGACCAGGATATCACACAGTGTGCATTTCTGTACTTAGATAACATGACCTGGATTTCACCAGCAGTGGAAATCAGATCTGTATCAGACAAGCGTGGCTTAGAATGAGATTAATTGGCAACTCTTCTCAAACTTTCAATGATTAGATTTTATTTTTTCAACTACTTCTTGTAGTTTCACCAGCTACAAAGAAATACGCACACTCCATAGAAAATACAAATGCTACTATTTTACTTGTAGTGTGTTTCTTTCAGGAATCAAAAAGCAGCTTTCCAGCTTATTTCACCTTACCTAGTAAACTGTAATCATGACCAGGCCTGACTACTTGGTTTGAATGTGAATTTAAGTCCCCTACAAAGAATCCGTAACTCAATGTTCTTCTATCGGGATTAATGAGAAAAGCTTATTTGAGAGCAAATATGCATAAAGGAGGAATTAGATGCTCTGCACACACACAGACACACACATTCATATAGCTCTGAAAAGAATGATTGCAAAGAGCATCAGGGAAACATAAATGCAACCAAGCACACAGGCTGTAAATATAATTGAAAGAGTATTGCAAACTGGTCTGTGGTATATACAAGACAATAATCTATCTGTACATTTAAATACTTAGGAAAGAAAGATCTGAAGTAATAATAAATCAGTGACTGCCTTTCTCCCCTCCGATGCAGCACCTCCCGGTGCATTCTTCCCCTCTCTGCCTTAAAGTTTCTGATTCTGATACCTTCATAGAAACCAAGTTTCTACAATAGGATTTTGCAATATGCTGGCCATAGATGCCAAATTACCTAAACTACAGGGGTATTTCCATACACTCTATTTATTATTCTCTCTCTAAACCCTCTCCTGCAGGCCTGCCTACCTCAGGTTAGGAGGAACTGAATCCTTCCTCACCTCAAATCACCTTCAGGTGTCTGTAAAGGCTCTTCTCTTAATCTCTCCAACCTGAATTTATTCATCTTTCCTCATTATCCCATTGCCTGCCACCTCTTTTCCTTTAAAACCTAACCAGCTAAGTACTCTCATCTTCCTTAGCCTCACTGGTTCTTATTATTTTTTCTCTTTCTTAGCTGAACAAAATCTCTTTTGTGATAAGCTTTTCTATGAAAGTTACAAATGAAACAAAACTCTGTGCTCTTACATTTTAAAAAATGCCCAATGAATACCTCATAAAAGTTAAACAATCTTCAATCAGGTAAGGATTGACAGATGAAGCACAGAAAGATACGGGTGCTGTATAAGACAACATCTTATCTGGTTACTTGCACTGGAGAGTTAGAGGCAGATTAAATTGCATAGGATGCCACATGATGCACCTGCTGCCCATTTTTTTTTAAAGGGAAAACCCCCAAACTACATGTGACAATATGCACAATTTGAGTCAATGATGTAGCATTTAATTTGGCTAAATCATGTTGGGAAATGCAGGTGCATGGATGCTTGTATGCATGCAGCTTTTAGAGTGCTAGGCATTTACTTATATAAGCATTACTAACAAAAGGATTTTAGCAGTAGAATAAAGGCTTTTCAGTGCCTAATCTCAGTGTGCACAGAAATAACTTCTGTTTAAATCAATTAAGGCTGGATCAGACCACAGTGAAAGTTCACTGTAGGAAAACTTGCTACAACAAAAACACCCACTTCAGCAAGACAATCAATTCTCACCTTCTTAATGTATTCAATCTATATTAAAAACTAGTATTCCATGTGAACCTGAAAGACAAGTATTCCACAAACATACTTACATAGATTGATACATATCTGTAGCTGTATCAAAAAGGATATGAATATCTCCTTCATCAACTCTGCAGGCAGAACTTTGCAATTGATCTTCCAGGTGCACCAATTTCTCACTTATTGCTTTACATTTTTCTCCCAGCTCTGCCGAAAATATGAAGAACTCCTACAAGAAGTTGGAAAAGAAAAGAAGCCATGTTTTCTGCCGACTACAATTGTCTACATCAAATTTGCATCAAATTAAGGGGAAAATATTAGTAAGGGGAAATGATACTTTGCAGTGCTAAGACATTGCCTGAAAGCAAATTCCCATTAGAGAGACAAAAAGCTGTTACTGTACAATAAATAGGTGGTTTATGTGAAATGGAATAAACTTGTGGTCTCAGTCTATTTCTCAGCACAAAAAAAAGTCACGATCTCACTTTCAGCCGATGATTAAAGGGGTGTGAAGACTGAACTGCTCTCCCTCTTCCCTGTTGTCTCACCATAGCAGGGGAGGAAAATCTCATGCTGACTATGCCATTTAGGGCATAGTCAAACTGTTCATGTAAATATGATTTACACTGTTGGGCCATTTAAAAATTTAAAAGAGACACCACTTCTGGTATCTCTTATAAATACAAAACGTACTTACTTTTTTGAGGAAAAATATGGTTAGAATACCTAGGGACTTTGTTCAACAGACCAGAGAAAATGCATCAAAGCCTTAAGAGATTACAAAATGAAATTACACTTTTTGTGTTATCATGAAATGCTTATTTTCAAGAGTAATGCTTCTCTACTTACTTACACAGATAAACTCTTTTTTTCTATTTTAAACTGAACATTTTAAACCAGTTGCAAAGTCCTTCCCCTAACATTTGCTGCACAATAGCATTTGTATCTTCATATTTTGTACTTTTTATTTCTTTGAGAAACAACCCAAAAAAGCAGAAAATACAGGAGGGGGAGGGAAAAAAAAACAAACAATCAATTTGTGCAGCACTGACACAAAGCCTCTCCTCTCCTTCCCAAGACATCATGAAACTGTCTACAGTGATTGATAAGGGGTACATGTAAGGAAATATAGTGCCAAGATGAAGTTCTGCTGGAGCCATGTTGACAAAAAAGGAGTCATTCATCTGCTGGAATACAGAAGAGTGGACTTTTTCTAGACCTAATCTATACACTCATCCATAAAGCAAGCTGCACATGTGGCCATATGCAATCTTGATAAAGATTTTCTCCTTTAAAAAAGTACTTGAAGTCCTTTGCACTGATCTGTTGCTATGATAGCAGCCCATCAGGGGTTGCTTAAGAGAAATCAAACCTTCAAGCAAAGGCCTTCCAAAGAAATTGTGCTAATACTTATTGGAATGCTGCCCATTGTGAAACAATCTGATTTTTGGTAAACGCTTTCACCAGACTTCAGTTCTGTGCTACCCTTACGCTTCATGTCACACAGTACATACACAGAGTCAAGTGTCAGAAGAACTCTGCCTGCTGGCACATCCTCTGTTACAGCACAGAGCTTTGACCCTTCTGCTTTCCTAGGTCTTCTGCCAGACATGGCCATTCAGCAGACCACACGGGTATGCATCCAGCTGCAGCTTGAATCCTGGATGAGTGAGCTGGTTATGAAAGGTTATGTTGCAAACAGCCACAGCTTAGAGAAGCACAGTGTAAGAACCAGCTGGCTGAGTCCCTGACTGCATATGAGTCCCTAGCAGCCATCTTCAGAGTCAGTACCAAACATGAGAATCTATGACAGCACTCCACAGAATTTACAGACACAAAAGTGACCCACTGTTTCAAAGATAAGAACAGGGGAGGAGAAGGTACACATTCTCACTACAGCAACTAGGAGTGTCCTTTTCTCAAGGCCAGGAACAGAAGACGAGTAACAAGTCTTCCATCCAGCTGCTAAATCATTGTTCAGCACACCAGCAGGACTCCACATGCTATTAGGGAGTAGAATAACCCAGGCTATTTATATCAATAGAAAGCTTTTAGGGAACCATGCTGTGACATGCATGCAAGAACCCACAACAGTGGTCTAAGAGAACTTAGGTCTCAGGCCAGAAGAGTCAGTAAACTGCAAAACCGTAGTACTCTGAAAGCACATCTAAAATTCTGAGCATCTAGAGAAAGATCCAACTCAGAACACCGATTTTCTCTAACAGCTAATTACACCTAAGAAAAACAGGTCTTCACATAACCATCATCTCAAACACAAGAAAAACAAGTCAAAAATACTCAGTTTGTCCGTTAATTAAACGCTGTTATTCCTAAAATAACTGTTCTGTGATCGTATGGCACTAAATATTGCTCTGACAGACAAAAGCCATAGGTGAAGCTTTCCAGACCAGCCTCTTTCTCAGACTGTGTACTCTGACAAAATGCATTAGTCCTGTACATATCCCGAGGAGCTGCTATGTCATAGTGACACATAAAAAGCTGATTCTTGCTCTTACAACATCAAGGTATTGAACGCTTTAGTGTGATCCAGCACTGCTTTCATCAAAAACTATTACCATATGAGATTTTGGATCACACTAATGCTGTCAAGGATGACACTTCTAGTCCCAACTTGAAATCATCAGTTACTACAGAGAGCAAAAAAAGAACAGTACATGTTACAGCACGCTCTTGAATACCTGTGCCATTCAGCATATTTAAATATAAAAAGCATTATAAAGATATGCATTACAGTAGGGATCCCTTTCTTTTTTAGTGTACTGTTGATGGCTTGAACATTTATCCAGATAATCTCTTAACCAATTAGCAGTATCATCAGTAGCTGTAAGAGAAGATCCATTTCCTCCACTTTAAAACTGCCCTCGCGTTTCCTGTCTCATACATGCAAATACTCAAGAGTTCACTGAGCAGCTAGTCTAAATGATAAGCACACTAGATGGATTTGCCCAGCCCTGCTGTGAAGATCCAGTTTCCCTATTTGCTGTGTCAGTGAACGTACAGGGCAAAATGGGCCTTTTAGACTAACCCCCTCACTGAACTTCAGGTGGGTTAAAAGATGCTGGAGACAGCATTTAGATACCTGGTTGGCAAAACAGGCTCCAAGCTGCAAGTGTGGCCTACCTCTGATGCACACAGACCCTGAAGATCCAAAATAAAATAACTACAGCCTGAAATCTAGCGTGCATAACTACATTATAAGTGGATAACTACACTTAATGGTGTACTGCTATATAATCTGATTTCATGTTTGACGTTTTCTTTCCCCTTTTAAAATAAAACTTACAGCAAAGTAAAGTCCCAGGAAGGATGGTAGTAACTAACTCAGCAAACAAGACCTCCAAGGCTCTTGGACTTCAGGTGAATGCTAATTCTGTAGCAAAGGCATCTCATGGTGCTTCAAATCAGTACAAACCTGTATTGGGGATTCTAAGACTTGGTTAGTAGCTTCTAACTCACTGCAGTTCCAGGCAAGGACTTTATTGGTATACTGATATCACACTAAACGTGTTTAGAAATAAGAGACTGTAATTTTTATCACTGGCTTTAATTCCTTTGTCAACCAAATATTTAGACTCTCACTTAAAGTAAAACGTCCATTCTATCTCAGAAAAAAAACAAACAACAGTGTAGTGCTCCTGAACGATCACATTTTGAGTATGTAATGAATTGTCTAAAAATATAACAAAAATCCCATTTACCCTGGAAATGAATATAAAATGAACAATGAGTACTAGGACAATGTGCTCAATGCAGATTTTTTACAACAATAAGGGAAGCCAGGAAATCTGAGAACATAAAAATCAATCAAGCTTGTTTAGGTCTTTAAACACTTGAAACCCATTTAATCATATCTATAAGGCTATAGTTCCACTGCAGTGTAAGTAAAATAACTTCATAAGGTAGGGGTTATATTCTATTAATCTTAAACTCCTAATAGGTATTTTGCAGCTTAATTCCTCTTTACTACAACAATAATAGTGTATGGATAAACTATTTTTTGCACCTACATGACACAGCTGCCTTTTTAGTTGAAATGAGAAGTTCCTCCATGGTTTAGACAAGCATCATCCCTGAGGAACTTACTCACAAGCATCACATGAAAAATGCAGAAAGGTCATCATGTAAGTTATGATTTTCCAGAACATGTATATATTGCCTTTCTTATTTTGGATTGGAAAGATGAGGTCATGCAGAGAACTCTAACTGAACAGGAGGAAGAGTTACAATAGGAAAAAAATATACTGCTCTCAAAATATACAAGAATAATTCTAAAAATTCAACCAATTCCACAGCTTCTACCCCCAGGCCCTTGTTTGAAAAGAGTTCAATAACCCAGAGACACAGATAGGAAAGATTTCTCTCAGCGCCGCTCATGCCTAGCAACGTCACTGGTAACATTTTTATTTGACATTTGTCTATGTAAGCAGGGAAAGAGCTATCGATGACACACAAACTATTCAGAACAGCTCCTGGTTGGAAAGTGGCACTTTACACTGATCAACATCTCTGAGAGGAGAGTGGACTCTGCCTCCAGCTCAACACATTAATAAAATACAACTCATCCAAGCTTGTAGGTTATGTCAATGCTACAAGCTACTGTAAGATTTAAAAATACTTTGGTTATTTTTGTACTAACAGCACTTTCAGGAAGCAGATAGGAAAGACTGCAGGAGTCAGAAGAGAGCTGAGATGTAGTATTGCTTTATGGATTTTTCTGTGAATGGCTGACTATAATCTCCCCACCCCCCTTAAGCAGGTGAAAACAGCACAAATGTGGGTGCAATTTGTTATTTTTTTAAGGTGAAATTCTTCTGTTTTCTCATGCAAAGTAAAAATTTTCATTCTGTCCCAGAGATGTGAGAGTCCGATGCAAGAAATGGGAGGAACAATATTTCAGCTAATGCACAGCTGGAGCAACAGCATCTGAATTAAGGGCAGAGGAAAGGGCTTCCACTTTAGTCTTCTGCATTTCATTTTACCCTTTTACAAATCATTTTAGTCACCTGTGAGCAACAGCTCCTTGACAGAATTACTCAAGGAAACCGTTTGATCAGCTTTTCCAGGGCAAACATCTTCCACCCTCTCTTGGATCTAGTTCAGCAATTTTACATGGAAGAATCAGTATTGTAGTAGCTAGATTAAGCTAACTCTATTAGAGACTCTATTAGGGATTAGAGCCACCATTAGAGTCTGTGGTGGTTTTGCTGAGAAGCAAGATTCCCCGATATATCCTTAAAATTAATTCTTCTTACAAGAGGAATTTTTGTAAAAAGGTGCTGCCTTACTTCCAACTAACAATATCATAACCCCAGTAAGATAAAAGCCCTAGATGACCTTCTGCAGAATATTAAAGCCTCAAAGATTAGGAGATTTACAAAGCATAAATCCTATCTCTCCTACAATAGTTAAAATAATTCAAAATAACAGAAATAACAACTACAAAAAGTTGGCCTTGCAGATACTTCACACTATGGCACAAGGTTTAGAACAAGTGACTCATTGCTGGCAGCAGTGCCGCATGCTTACCCTCACCCCTTTGCAGAAGTTAATGTAAACTGTGAGCACCTGAATCTCCAGAACATCAGGCCAGGGCACCTCTTAAATCATTTCTAGAAACAAAAATGCAACCATCCATCTGTTTGTCCTGCACAAGCAGATTCTTCAGTCACATGCAAGCTAAGCACACAGGCTTTCAGATAGTGAGTTACGCTGCCACAGGTGGAGGTAGGACATTTGTCCCTGCATTGTGGGCACTTTGCTGGGCAGGCCTAATCTCTTACTCTGAAAATAAGACACGTAACTCATTACCAGCACCATTAAGGTGATGGGCAAGGCTGATGAGGAAGCAGCCAGGGAGCACCAATGCCTGCTCTGTGTCTTGCAGCACTCTTAAGCCCACTGTAACTCTCCTCAGCCGCCGTCTGTCTACACAGCTCTCAGCAGCTGACAGAACAGAGCCTGCTCCAGGGCTTAACTGCCCTTGGACTGAGCAAATCTTCCTACTGCAAATTTCCCTCACTACAAATCAAGATGGCCACACTTCATTTTATCTTTCTATATCACACAATGATAACTAACCAGTTGTCCTCTACATAATTATTTTTTATGCAACTGAAGCCTTTGACTTTCAACCAGATCAGGATTTCTAAACCTTTTATTTCTGTTGCTTTCCTTCAGCGTGTTCCTGTCTTCTACAGTGAGGTGCCCAGACCAGTAGTCCTCTGGAGTCTTTGACATTCTCAGCTAAGCACAGTAATTATTTCTGTCTTACAACTGACATTCCCATTAATGAGGCTGCAAATGACATTTGCCCTTTCTCGGATGAAGGTAATGAATCCCACTAGCTGTAGTCCACTATAATGTTAGCTTCTGCAGTATTGTCATCTTAACTGCTATTTACCATGTGTATACATAAATCCAACTTTTTTCTTCCTCAAATGCAATTTGCACCTGTCTTTCAACACATCCCATCTTATTGATTTCAGGCTATTCTTTCAATCTATCAAGAACATTTTGAATTCTAATCCTAACTGAAATTATGTTGACTGGCACAAACTCCTGGCCTGCCTCCTTTTTAAAGGCAAATACCAAGTCTGCCTTTTACTGATCCCCTGAGACTTCAAACTTCCTCCAGGAGTTTTCAAAGAGGTTTGTTAATGGTTTGGAGATTGCTTCTCTTGGCTCCTGTGCACTCAGAAGAAATTTCATCAGTCTAGCCTGACTTGAATACATCTTACTTGCCTTAGGATCCTTTTCTGTTTTCAGTTCTTGCTACCTTGAAGTGAATATTAAGAGCACTACATTATGGACATAGTTTATCACTTTTAGAAAGACCAAAAGCAAAGAAAATAAGGAATAGGAAAAAATACTTTTGCCATCTGCTCTCATCTCAGTATTTTCTCATTCACTTTTATTACTAGAAGACACGCATGCTTTCTCTCACCCACCCCTTACATACAGCTTATTCCTGAACTCCCTTGACATTTTGCATGTCTTTTATTTACAATACCTTAGTACATTCAAGGGTCTTGCTGATGCACTCTTACAATGTGCAGTAGTACACATTTAGGCTCATTTTTATCCTTTCCCTTGCAAAACTCTTTTGGACCACTGAAGAGTTGCTGACACAGATACATAGATTGTTACCGTTTGCTTTTTTCTGCCCCAAAAGGAGATGGTGCTGTATTATAAACACAATGTCTTCTGGAGGTTATCAAAGATCATCTGCTGATTCCTCATCTTATAGAAACTCTACCTGTCTTTTCTCAGAAGAGGAACCAAGGTTCTTTCCCAATTACTTTTGCTCTTATTACCTCTCACTTACAGACTGCTAGCTTGTTCCATCAGTCTGTTTATGTTACATATATATATATATATTTAGAAGACTGCAGCACTACAACACATTCCTCAGTTTCTCATATGCAACAATTCAGGCATAAAGCTTTCCAGACTGCTGTTTTGCAACTATGTCCTACCTCCACCCCATCACCACATGCTTTTCCCACATTCCCTTTGCTTGCACTGGTCGCCTTCTCTCAACCATAGGGATATACCACCACATGGGAGTGTTAAATGACACATCAAAATTACAGCCCGATGCTGGCAATCCTTCCCCTCATCTTCCATTACAGCAGTGGAGGAATGTCCTTGGAAAAGCATCTACATAGGAATAGAGGTTTCCACTGCCTTCCAGCACCCTGCTGTGGTCTGGGTGACAGCAGTCTTCCCATTCTCATCTCTAGTAGACTGAAGATCTTCCCTGAGTGCAAATTCCCTAAAATGCAAATTTCCTAAACACTACTGCACTGACTCATTTCATTAAACTGGGACAACTCCTGCTCCTGCTGTGGGAGGATGAGGCTATTTACTGACTTATCAATAAAAGTTCACAGTGGACCAGGACTTGGAAAAGAAACAAAAGCACCAAACTGTTTTCTAGTGTCCACACCCTGGTGTGCTAGGAGTCAGCACAGCTGGATGTCACTTACAGGTGGTTTCTAGTATTGTTCACTCCCATCTCTGATCCTGAGTCACTAAGATGCAAGAATCTGAAATGACTAACAGGGTGCTCTCCTGCAGGCAGCAGGGAGACTGACAACAGTGGATTAGGGGACCAGAGTATCAAAGAAGCATTTAGGCAAAGCCCTGACATGGTAAATGGTGCTGACAGTTTCATAGAGCTGTCTACAAGTCAGCATCAATCCAGCTGTGGCAGTGTGGTAGGGCCTGGCTTTTTAGTAAATTTCCATTTCCTTTATTTGAATCATTGCTCTCTATTCTCTTGATGCAGTTTTTCCCCCTCAAAATTTAAAACCGGCAAAGTTTCTCTGCCTGTGAGGACTCTGACATATTAAACTGTTAGTGAATACTTCTGCAGTGGCAGCCCTCTGTGCTTGTGAGCCCTGGTGCATGTGTAAACCCAGAACACACATCACACGTGCTCTTGGGCACATCTCCTGTTAAGCAAAGGAACAACTTCAGCCAAGGGCTGGGTTGTACTACAGCTTTCGGTACAGGTCACTGCTGGACACAAACATGCAGTTGTACTCTCATTTGCTTTGGTCCAGACCATATGAGAATGTTTAATTTCCAGCTGTCCTGGCAGCTGCCACTTCCAATGTGCCCTCGGTGTTTTGCCCCACTGGCAGTAGAGCTTTTTGCTATCTTATCCTGTGGGACTAACTGCTCCTATTTCAGGTCATCTGTGGATACAAGCACCTGCACAGTTTTGCTTTAATTCACAACAAAGTTCAACAATAAGAAAGGCTATCTGCATATTCTGCAAAGTTCACCTTCACTCTAAAGGCTTCCTGGTTTTATTAATGCTGAATCCACACACAGCCAAGCAGTTTATCCTAGGTGTGCTCTCACGTCACAGTCTCCTTGTATGCAAGGTCAGCAATCCGAGTTTGGTCTTGCAGTTAGATTATCTTTCCTGGAGCATTCCAGTTGCTCCACAGATTTCGGATTCATGGTAACTCTGAGGAGTTATCCCAACTGCAGTTTTTATTTATTTAGTATTCCTTGGCTGAGCACTTGCCACTTGTACTTTACATGTGGCATATATGCTGTTATGGAAGGTGACTGGGGGTTACTCACCTGTGTAATTAATTTTCTGGCTGGACACAATGCTTGCATACTGTATTTCCTTAATATGTAAGTTGCAACCCAAGGCATACCAATAAAAAAACCAGACCAGACTGAATTAGTACAGCTCTTAGAATCAGTATAACTCTCCTTACACATCTATTATCTAAGCTTTTAGTTTGTGTGTAGACCGATTTTCCCTTATCGCTTTCAGCAAATGCATCTCCTGCTACTCAATTATCCTAGACTTCATTAAATATATAGACTAGGACCTGATGTCTTTTTAGTTATGAAAAGAGTAAAAAAAAGGACAACATCCAGTATTTTATTCAGATGAAATTCCTATTACCCACTGTGCCTAACAAGCCACAAAGATGATCACAGGGCTGGAGCACCTGTCCTACAAAGACAGGCTGAGAGAGCTGGGCTTGCTCAGCCTGGAGAAGAGAAGGCTCTGGGGAGACCTTAGGGCAGCATCCAGTGTCTAACGGGGGTCTACAGGAAATCTGGAGAGGCAGTTTGTACAAAGGCATGTAGTGACAGGAGAAGGGCGAATGGCTTTAAGCTGGAAAACGGTAGTTTAAGATTAAGCTATAAGGAAGAAATTCTTCACTATGAGGGTGGTGAGGCACTGGCACAGGCTGCCCAGAGAAGCTGTAGCTGCCCCATCCCTGGCAGTGTTCAAGGCCAGGTTGGATAGGGCTTTGAGCAACCTGGAAGATGTCCCTGCCTGTGGCATGGGATTGGAATCAGATGATCTGTAAGGTCCCTTCCAACCCAAACCATTCTATAATTTTATAAGTGTCATTAGTTCTGAGGCCCAGAAAAGTCCATACAATATCACTACACTGTCTAGAAAACACTTACCTCAGATAAACGACCCTCTGCTCCAAATGAAACATCTTCTGTAACCTGTTAGAGACAAAATTATTAAGTATACAGTAGATAAATGCTATATAAACAGTAAAATTTCAATGGAACTTACAAAAACCATACAGCACATTAAAAAATTATATAAGGAGAACAATTACATCATTTTCTTTCACAAACATGAAACATTTCAATTACATTTATAATGGAGCATTTGTAGCCACCCAATATTTAAAGTTAAATTTGAGTACATTTTACTAAAGCCTGCCTTTGGCTTCACAGTTAAAACCCACAAGGAATACAACCTCTAATGCTGAAGGACTAACTACAGATTAAACCAAACTTTTCTATCAAGCTTTTATGGATCTATACACTATTCAGGAGTCTACAAGAATTTTCTGGCACAAACCCTGTAAGTGACTTCGGGCAGGACATTCAAGAGACCCCACTGACAATTTGTATTGTTAACGCATGCTAACTATAGTCAATTCCTCTTTCAAAAATTGCTTCATCTGTGAAGTCTGTAAGAAATTTGCCAAAAATTTATCAATGGCTGAGGAGCAAAGAAATTTGATGTTAATGTTATTGTATAATCATTAATTCTTATCACATATAACAGTATTGATAATCTTGCAATAAGCTGAGATAGGGCTACTGCTTTGGTAGGAAAACAGTATCACAGATATGTACATATATATAATAAAGTGCAAAATCATTACTCTGCTATAAGATCATTATTATTGCTAGGTACTCTTTTTCAGTAATCTATCTGAAAAGAGATTGCTTAGATTTCTTTTTCCTGTAATACTGATTTTTTAATTACATTTTTACTGCAAAATACACATAAGCATTAAGGTTACTGAGATGCTAATGAGGTAGTATTTTTACCAGTGGATACTGCATATCAGGATCACACGCCACTCAGGGGCATCATACTGCACAACAACACATGTGACTGTACAACGATGATCTGACCCTTGCGTACAAGCCAGCTGCCTGTTGCAGCAGAAACCCTTTCCAGCTTGGATCAATACAAAAAAGCACTCAAACATTGACTTTCAGTGATGCTTAATGCTGACATTTAAAATGAAGATTAACGTTTCTGAATTATTTTTGCAGCTCTACAAATACAATGTTTAATTAAAACTCAAACGAATGCCAGTTTATTTAGCCTTCTAGAGGCTTTGTCCTTTACACATTGAACATTTGCCTCCTGGAGCACAGGCTATCTCAATGCACAGTAATGAGTTACAGCCTGCTGACAGAGGCTTTCTTGGTGCTTGCTATCATTACATTCTGAAAAATGTAATGTCATATCCTGTGATGATCTCTTTTTAATGACAGACACCACATTAAATATTACTATCCTTTCACAATTGTCCACTTAGTATCACTTAGAACATTCAATATCTTAAAAACAGTGAGCCACACGAAGGCTTTACAATTACAGAACATCTTCCAAACACCAGAGTGCTCTACAGAAGATCTCAAAACATTGTCCCAGATGGCAAAACTGCATTATGGAGAGGTGGGGAAAAGACAGCAGCCCTTACTCTTACCTCTGCTCCCTGCTTCTTTTATGGTGAAAATGTGAGAAATGATCTACAAAGAATTCTGACAGGATAACTACCAAAAACGCTGACTTACAAAAGGCAACACTACTGAATTTTGGTTTTTACCTTGTAACTTTAATCACCTCAATTTTCTTGAAATCTAGTAGGTGTTTCTTTCCTTCATAGTGATTAAGAGGGAGCACTGCACAGCATGACAGATAGCAGAAGAAGAAGAAAAAAGGATAGGTCAGGAACTCAAGCCTGCAGGTGCGCACATACTCATGTTCATCAAGATATTTGGCGTTAGGGAGGTCCCAGCACACACACACACACACTCCATTTATTAGTTATCTGTTTCTGGTGTTATAACAAGGTTTTGCTTACACATACATTATCAACAAGCAAGAAAAGTAAAGCATCATGTCCTAAGGAGTGGTAAAAGCAGGAGCTAATCTCTGAAGAGAAATTAAAGGTTACTGTATATTTTTAAAATCATCCAGATATATATCTTAATGTATAATAATGATCATAACAACTCTGATCTCACTCACGTCACCTGCGCAAAATAACTTTCAGTCAGTTTGAAAGTATGGAAAAATTCTGGGATGAAAACAAAAATCAAGCCAAATTAGTCATAAAAAGACAAGCTATAACTGCAGTGATGGGGCACCATAATTTCATTAAGATAGCTACCAGCTAGAGAGTATACACGTATATGGAAACTCAAGAAGCAGTATCAAATACATCAGACAATGAGCTGACTTGCACATGGCTGAAGCCAGTAATAAAGTCTATAATTTTCGTCAACATATTTTTTAAATACTTGAACCTAATGAATTACCTGTATGAGAGGAGTACATCTTAATTTTTAAGTAACTAAGAGTGCTCCATGGGATGATTTTTGCTGGCCTCACTTTATTTATTTTTGAATTAGTAACAATGGGTTCAACAAGCTGAGATGCCCAAGCATGCAACTGCCTTCCCTGGTTAACCATTATAAAGGAAATTTGATTTACCGGATTATTTTGGGATGCTATAGTCTACACAACTGAGGAAAAGAAATTCTGTACTGTCTTAGAGAACACAGTTATGAAGACTATAAAATAACTGCTGACAGTTAATAAACCTGTGCCTCACACATGACACTGAAATATCTGAACTTTCAAAGAATTTATACCTTACATATTTTATAACAGAACATGTCATATTTTATGATCTAGTGGGGATATTTAATTAAAAATGAAAGATACTCCCTCTGCAATACCTAAGGATCTAAGTGAAGGGTGCTTTCAACTCATCTACTTTGCTTTTCTTATTACCACATTTCTTGCTTGTTTCTTTGTTTTCAAATGAAACCTATGCAGTGAAACACAGTTCTATGCGAGGAAACTATATTTATAGTGTACATCAACAAAACCAGCATCCAATCCACAGCAATGCTTAGCCAGATATGACATGATAAATAACTGGAGAGCTTCGTTTACAGCATTTCACCATAAAGTAAATCAATCACTTTGGAAAATAATAGACCTTCCAAGGCATATAGGCACATATGCCATAATTACCCTTTTCTATACTGTTTTGAAGCAAGAAATTCAATAACCTGTAAATACAAAGAATGCCACTGTTTCATTCTGCTTCAGTGACCAAGAGCACTTTCTAGAAATTCCCCAATGGGGAACATAAGTAACACAGTTGAAGAGAATAGTCATTTTAGAAACATGGCAACCACATCAAGCTACTTCTCACAGAGGGACAGGGCATCCTTCTTAAATAATATCAAACAAATACATGCTTTTCTACTAGGTATTCCCACTTACTGTAAATGGCTACAAAAAGATTCATTACTAATGGGTAACAGTAAGTTTTTCTATGAAAGACATATGAATGACTATATTTAGAGGCTAAAAGCCACACCACTGTTGCTTTGTGGTTTTTTTTTTGGCCACAAACAAAATTATTTTTAAATAAAAACAATGCCATACCCTAGGCCAGACCGCTTAAATGCTCCGGAAGTGGTTTATCTTTCAACTAAGTCCATTTACACACCAAGAGAGATCCTGTCTTGCACTTCAACATGTTCAAAACTGGAAGTTAGAATGATTTGTGTCAGGGTTTTGTTTGCTTTTATATTCTGCCCTGTGATGAACTATGCTATTGCTCTTTTCCAAAAGTTTAGATACTGCCTGTCACTCATACTGAGATCCTACCAGCTTTACTATCTAAAGTGTACTTGTCTGCGTAAAATTACTAAACACCAGAACAAGTTAAAAAATCCTACCTCCTGAAAGTATAAAAGCAGACCAACCCTAACTCCAGAACCAGAAGATAGTCTATACGTTGGAGTTGTTTATGGTGCAGTCATCACTGATATATAACTTTGCCTCTTTGATCAAAGCTGTAGGCAGCACTGAAGCAGAGGAAGGCTGGTTGACTAAGCTGTGAAATACAGCTGTGCTGCTCAACTCCTTGTAAAAGCTGGAAAATGAACAGTCTTATACTAACAAAACTGCTTTTTTTTTCTGTCAAGTTTGTCAGCCCTAGGAGCACTGTGGAAACACAGGCAGGCATTTTCATGTTTATATTTGTACATTAGCTTCTGAATGGATTTTGGCATGTTCTCAAAACGGAGTTTGTTCAGGGTACCAGGACAAGCCATATCCCAGGCAAAGGCATTTATACCACAAAGTTTAAGCACTTAGATGAAATGCTGGAGTTTGGAGGTAGTCTCCCAAAGTTCCCTCTGTGGTTGACAGAGGCAGAGGGAAGTTATCAAAAAGCAAGTTCAAAAAGAAGAGCTTAATGGAAGCACTGCAGGTGTGCTTTCCTCTTCCGTTAAACATATGGGGAACCTGTCTGTCTTGAGTCCTGCACATCTCTCCAGAATCAGAAGTCACCTCACTTCAGCTGCCTAGATGTCATTTTACGATAGCAATGCTGACTTCCAGGCAAACAATCTGGAATTGCAGAGGTGAAATAGGCAATCATCTACAGTACAAATCTCAAGAGTACTACACAAACAGTCACAAACCCCAACACCACCTCCACACCCCCACCCCAAGATTCTCAGCTGCGCTTCTGAAAGGGGAATGCAGCTTTCCATACCAACAGAACTCTTGTTACTTCATCAGACTCATCAGGAATACAATAAGAAGGGGTTGGGGGGGGGGGGCAAATCAAAGTCACAGCTGTTCCTCTCCAATAAAAATGCTGTCTATGTGGAATCAGCCCATAAACCATTTTCCCTAGGAAAAGGCTGCAAGCATTCTTGAAGCCCACACCAAGAATTTTACAAATGAGAAGTTTTTACAGTAAGGTAAGGGCCTGCTTTCCACTAAGTTTTAGCCAATATAAATGCAAAATTAGGCATCAGCTTTCAATGTAACACATGGTTCAACGGCTCGTAACAAGAGGTGTAATTAAGCACACTTCTAGTTTTTGTCAGTGAAATTCCAAGATAATAAAACTGACAACTCCTGTTGGAGGGTCTTTTTGTCACAGTGGTGCTGTTGGGCTGATGAAGCTTATTAACAGCTTCTTTGCCTTGGCAGTGCAGTTAAGATTATTAGGTAGCTGTTTATTTTTTTGAGCATGGATGGCATTCCAAAACAGAACATGAAAACTTAGAAATTTGTCAAACCATTTATGCCTTATGACTTTTTTCCTTGTTTTGATACTTGTTGGATGCTGGAAGCCTACCAGCCATCTGAGCTAGGAAACCTTTGACCATTTCACTAGGGGAGGGAAACTTGTTCTCCCCCTCCCATTTCAGCTAACATACATCCAGGCTAACAAGTCAGCAGAACTAACTCAGCTCTGACACTCATCAATGAGATGAGGAACAGCTGACAGCTTGTGTTAAATACTTAATTGTTTTTCCTTTAAGTCCTGATGTACATTCTGTACTTATTGTCTGCATAATTTCCACATTTTAAAAAGACTGTGAAAAGAAAAAGGGTTGAAGGGCTTCTGAGAAGCTAGTAAGCTATTTTATTCATGTCCCACATTGGAGGTCAGATATTAAATTCATACTTAACCTGCCCCGCTGACCCGTCACCCAGATTCAACTCCTCCTCTCAGAAAGAAAACTAGCAGTTTGAAATACAGCTGTAGAATATTTCAGATACCTCTTCTAGCTCACTGTGCTTGGGGCAGGGAACAGAGCCCCACTCTATGCCCTTTGGAAAGTGACCTTCTTTTCTTTTCTCAGAATCAGATGGGCCATCAGCAGTCATCTCCATCTCATCCATTTGGTTCTCCTCTTGCTCGAAACCACAGCAACTCGTTCCTTTCAGTTGAAACCCTCGGATCAACAGCTGACAGGCCTCCAAGTCAGCTTCCCACACTCTTTGGAGCAGCTGGCTCCCACAGCTGAAATAAAAGCCAAAAGAAAACTGCAGTTCAGGGAGAATAGTTGCTATTTCAAGAAACTTTGGGGGTGAGTGCTTATTATTAGTTAGGAAAATAAAAACAACAAAAGAACAACAGCAGCTCAAATGCTTCCACAGAGATAACACAAGTGATTTAAAACTGAAAAGCAGTAAAATTGTGGCCCTATTACAAAGCCAATACCATAAAAAAAAAATCCCTTTGTGCTAAGATGTTGCTTCCAACTGTATGTTGTACACTGGCTATATGTGTCCTTCTCTGGATCAGACCAAAGACCAGGGTCCTGTGATCACAACCAGAGCTTCATTCATCCTACTGGATATACAGGCTCGTCACCCTAAAGGCAGTCATGTTGTTTTCCAAGATTTGATGTAGAACATCATGTACAAACAATCACACTATTCATTGCATTAAATCAGCTCTAAGTTTTGGAAAATATATACACTGTATTTCTTGTTAGGCTGAAACTTGCTTACTTCAACTCTGGTGAATTTGGTTAGATCAAACTGTAATACCCTTACTTCCCTGCAGCCTTATACTTGTGTGTATTGTCCTTATCTCTCACTATTTTGGGTTTTATTTCTACTTTGTTATCCCACCAAAGAAAAAACAAAAGCATTACAAAATTCAAAATATCCAACTTCCTCATACCTTTAAGCTACTGATCATCTCTCAGAGATAACCCACTTATGTTACAAATACTGCTCCTGAGATCCATCCAATAAGTATTTCCACCTGAAGTAAAAGGGAATTCTAGGCATAGATAGTTTATCAGAACAAGACACCGATTACTAAGATCACACTGCTCTCAAGAGATGTGGTCACATCTTCATTTAATACATGTTGTCTCTAAGGGCCAAAGATTAGGTTGCCTGCTAAAATATAGCAGATAAGTGGCAGAGGCCAGGATGGGCCTGAAAAGCACCGAGTCTCATGGCAGTACACACTTCCAGACAGATTTCAAGGCTAATATCTAATAACCTCAGTTTTTCACAGTGCTTTTCAAATTATATTGTTTACTATATAATTGTAAGGATTATAAGTGACTAAAAAAGGAAAATAACTATTTAATTTCAGCTTTTCTGACTAAATTAAATACCAGCTTATCTTTTATTCTAAATGAAAGAGATAAAGGAGCTGCACTGATCACACTGATTTCATTAACCTAACAAAGGTACATTTTTAACCCTACAAACTCTACAAGATGTCAAGCTGTAAAATTCACACAGCAATATTCTGAGACTGAGAATAAAATTATGCTCCAGAAGCTGAGCTTTTTCATTTGTGCTTAGAGTCAGTATATATGTTTATTGAAGGCAGAATTCAGCATGAGGTCCACAAATTGGTCTCCCCCAAGGAGTTCAGAGTATTGCTAATTAGAAAGAAAAAAAAAACCTTCACTAGATTACACCTGTGTTCCATCCAGGTAGCATTTCACCTATGAACCCAGAAAAACAATATACCCTCCATTGTTTTCCCTACTTGTCAGTCACATTACCATGGTTACACAGCCAAAACATTTCCTTGCAAACATACATAATCCCATTTACTTACTTTTTGAAAAAGTTTGCTTGCAGCTATATATGGTTTATTATTATAGGCTTCGAAAAGACACTAGAAACCTAAATCATGATTTCCAGTGGATACCTTCTTTTGGCTATTCAATTTAACAGAGAGCTCTACTGACAGAGTAGGTAGGGCAGAGATAGTGATGTATGCAGAATTCACAGTGGACAAAATGGACAGCAAATATATATAAATATATATATATGTACAGAGCAATGGTGCCTGGGCTGCTGTTATTGGGCCATGTCTCACCTCATCGGTCAACAACTGACACCTGTTTTAATAATCCACAGTTACTGAACATACCATTAATAGCTTACTTTTAGTTTAAGAATAGCTTTGTTTTACCACCATATCTGTAAAACTCTGATACATCTTAAACTAAGACACTGAGATGTTAGGATGAACTTTTAAATTTTATCAGTGAATGCATATGTACTTGGCTATACTAAACTTATATACCCAAACCCAAGAACCCTGCATTTTTTAGTCTGTGTTTGAAATTCAGTGCCTAAAAGCATTTTTCAAACACACTTTTTGAATGAAAATTACTTGAAAGCTGCAAGCAGCTGACAAACACATACAGAAATTATTCAAAATTATGTTGTTACCAGCATGCAAAAATCTTTAGGCTTTTACATCAGGTGTGAAATCAAGCTCAATTGAATTTCAGAGTTTGGTTTATTCATGTTCAATCCACACTGAAAGTGCATTTGCAGCCTCCATGAAGCCAAAAATATGTGGATGCTTTTACTGAATAAAGTTTTTTCATATATGCAACTTTTCAAAATGATGGATCAAGACTGGATCAGATTTTGCATTATTCCTATACTTATAAATATTTTATGATATATCAACCTCTGGGTGTTATATGCCTGTCTGTATTTTACTAACAAAGTAACATATGTGGCAAGATCAGCGGAGGTGCCAGGATCAATTTGCTGGAATCCACAGCAAATCACAATCCACCAACCATTTACAGACCCAGCAACAACAAAGCATACCTTAATCACTTACAGACTGTGAACTTCCAAGTTCACATGAGTGCTCATGAGTACAAAGTGCCAGGCTTTGTACAAGATACAGATGAGGATGTTCAAAGAAACAGAGACAACAGTGGACTGAACATGGCACGTTAGTTACAGTACAATGGTTTAATTTGTTACATGAGTGACTAATTAGTCTAATCACTGTCAAGCACACTGAGGTATCACAGTGAATGAGCATTTTAAGGACCGACAGGAGGCCATGAAACAGATCAGTGGATATCCAAAATCTTCACCCTTCCATAAAGGAATCATGTAAGAAAAAAGCAAAAGCAAAAAAGAGCAAAAGAGGTTAGTATAAAAATGCAATAGGCAAGTGATTGATACCAATGTGGTTTAATAAAAAAAAAAAAAAAAAAAGAACAAAAGGACTGAGTAGGTGGTAAAAGACTGTGAGAAGCCTTGACATTGAAAGCTAGCAGCTACACGTGATGTGACAGGACAGAGGGAACCACTGGAGAAAAGCAAACAAATTGAAATGATCAGAAACACAGAACTTAAGGGAAAAAGAACAGTCATTGCAGTGTCAACAGCTCTTTGAATGGATGAGAGTAGGGCAAGACTGATTTTGTCAAGTCATGGTCAGGGAAATGGATGTTGCAGTAAGATGCAAGACTCAACCTGAGTAATTTTTTTAGCTGATGGATAGCTGGAACAGGTTTTATCTCAAGGACACTATGCATAAAGAATCTACAAAAGCAGGCCTAAGTTGGCTTGAAGAATGGCCGACACATCCACAGGAACACAAAAGGATGCAGCAGGGAGTATTCTGGATTAGGTCAAGTTGACGATGATGAAAGAGCTGCCAGAGAAATTGAGATGTTTATGGACAGGAGGAAACGAATGCAGAACAGAGAGGTTTATCCTTGAGTTTTCTTCATAAAGTAGCAAATGAAATTGTAATTGCAGATGCCTTTACCAAGATTCAGGTAGTCTTCTAGGAAACAACACCGGAGAACAGAGGGTAAAAGGAAACTAGAGGTTATCTTCAATTTACATGTCACATTGGGTGAAATTCATGCCAAGAGTCATATCCAACAAGGATTCTCTCTCTTCCTTGAAATCCAAAGGATATTGCTTCTCTGTCTTTTCACAATATTCTCAAAGATACCAGTGGGGACTCTCTATGTGTCTCTCAGCACAACATTATTATAAAGCTATTTATAGTACTAACTGGAACTAGGAGAACATGACTTTCCTATTGAGGGCCCTGCATACATACAAAAGGCACATTCAGTTCCTGAACACTACAGCCTAAATAAAAACATGCCCATGTAAAAATAGCAGAGGCTTTTATATTAAACCCTATTGAAAAAAAAGACAACCAACAAACCCAAAAAACTAAAAGCCACCAAACAAAAAAACAACAAAACAAAAACCAAAACCACACACACACACAAAAAAAAAACACCCCCCCAAAAAAACCTCCCCCCAAATCTCTTCAAAAGCAAACTAGAATTAGCCATGGAGATGGCACTACTTTAAATTTCATCATCTCTAGTGCCCCTTGGTGACTGAATTGTTAAAAGTGGTTTGTAACAGCCTGAGACCTACTATGTTGGTAGAAAAAGTTGCTTAATTTCACAGGAAATGCCTGTAAGACACATCTTGAAAGCCAAGAGAGTGAGTCTGAAGCTAAAAGGCTACATCATAAGACATCTATTTAGAAACTGCATAAACAAAAGCCAACTTACGTGGTGAAAGTAAGCATCACTAAGAAGAAATACTCTAGACACAGAGGTGAGCCACTCCAAGGTGCAGATTCAAGAAAGTATGAACTTACCTTTTCCCAGTACCTAGCACTCATGTTAACACTGCATTCACTGAACATAAAGGTGGTTTTCTCTCACAAGGAAGCAAACAAAATGCAACAAAACCAGTCTGGTAGAAAGCCAGGGATTTTCATTACAATTAAAATTATTGGAAAGTTTTGAGGCTTGCAGAATCAAAAGACTTTATTCTATATTCCTATTCTTTGTCACTCTACTGTACAAACTAGGGAAAGTTTCTCTATATTTTGGTCACCCGCTTCTATTTATATTTTACAGAAAAAGGAAGGAACTAGCTTTTCTTACTCTAAATTTAGTTATGCCGCTGTTGCCGTTTCTTAAGGCAACAGCCATGCAGTGAACAAAGGAGGCAAGGGAAAGACAGTATGGAATAATAATACTTGAAGGAAGGAAGAAAACCGTATTGCTTTACTGGTAGCAGAAATCCACCCCTCTTATTTGGTTTATCACATTAACTCAGAGTCATGCATTAACAGCCCTTCTTAGATTTAAGAAAGAAGTATTTACTACTTCAGGAATAAGTTTGCCTTTCTCTTTCATTTAAAAAAAAAAAAAAAGAAGAGGTTTCCAGCCTGATCAA